AACTCGGGCCCGAGCTTGGAGAATCTCGGAATCTCCAAGCGCACCCGAGTTTGGAGGAAATGGGCCGGCGTTTGGAGCATCTCCAAACTGAGTTTGGAGAATCTCCAAACTGAGTTTGGAGAATCTCCGAACGCAGGCCTAAGTTTGGAGAAAATCTGTCCGAGATTGGGGAATGTCCAAACTCATCCCGAGTTTGGAGAAAACGGGCCTGAGTTTGGAGAATCTCCAAACTCGAGCCCTTTTTCTCCAAACTCGGGCCCGAGTTTGCCAAAATTCGATACTCAGTTCGAGTTTGGAGAATCTCCAACCTCAGGTCCGTGATTCCAACCTTGGGCGGTGCTCTTGGAGATTCTCGAAACTCGGGCCTGAGTTTTTGGAGAACACATGCCTCAGTTTCGAGAATCTGCAAAGTCATCCACGGTTTGGAGAAAACGGGCTGAGTTGGAGAAAAAAAAAGGCTGGCTTTGGAGAAAAGGAGCCTGATTTTAAAGAGTGAACGCAGGCCCCAATGGGCCTGAGTTGGGGGAAACGGGCCTGGGTTTGGCAACTCGGACCCGGATTTGGAAATCTTCAAACTCGAGCCTGAGTTTCCCCAAACTCAGGTTGAGTTGGGAGAAATTGGCTAGAGGCTAGAGTTTGGAGATTACGAGCCTGAGTTTGGAGTATCTCCAAACTGCCCTCACTGAGTTTGGAGACAACGGGCCATAGTTCGGAGATTCTCCAATCGCAACAGCCCGAGTTTGGAGAAACTGTCGAAGTTAGAAAGTGGTTGGGACTTAGCGGACTCAGTTGGAAGAAAAAAAGTCCCGAGGAGTCGTGAGTCTTGACATGTTTGCTGCTGCCTCCTATCACCCATCTCGGTGATGAGATCGGAGACTGGGACTGTTTGCACCAAACGCGGCACACTCATGCCCCCCCATTTGCGGGGTCTCAACAAATGAACCGAGTTTCTTCATATGGCGCTACGGGTGCGCAGAAACTGACGTTAGCCCAGCTTTGTTCAATTTCAACCCTGGGTTTGGAAAGTCGAGCTCGGTTCCCGACCTTGTTGCAAGGCCTTGTCACAGCAAGATGCGTTCCGGGCTTCCAACAACGGTTGTGAGTACAGGTTGCAGAAACGAAACGTGTTTGATCAAACTGGGGCATGAACACGACATCTCACTTGGGGGCTGCTATTGCCCCAAGTGAGCCGCCGTTTTCATGCCCCAGTTTGATCAAGAGCGCTTCGTTCCTGCAACCTGCACTCACAGCCGTTTTGGGAAGCGTGGAACGCTTGTTGCTGTGGATTGCAAAAAAGGCCTGAGCTCGTGCAAGTTAACACCAATGACAGCCCAGGCTTCTCTCTGTGACGATGTCGGGGGTGTGCAACATAACGGCGCCCTCTTCTCCCCTGAACTAGCCGCCATCCCATTGAGACTGCATGTAATCAAGAACCTCCAAACCTGACAGCATCCATCCAACAAAAGCTTTTCACGCTGTTGACGGTGTTGGGTTCGACTTGAACTCAACATGCCTTTGTGCGTCATCAGCAATCCGGACGGGGACCGCTCCATGAGTCTTAGCATACGAACTGCAGCTCCCACAGGTGGCAAGGGTAGTGGGAAAATTCCCTTACCACGAAATGGTGATGTGGAAAAACTTTTCTTCAGTGCCTCAGGCAGCGTTTTCATCCAATGCCCATCCACTGGGCCATGAAGCAGGAGCTGCAGTGTGGTGACTCCGAGTTGGGTGACGCAGGGCCAGCTCAACATCGCTTCTTTGCACAGTTTGTGAAAATCGTCCGAAAACTGAATCTTCAGCAAAGTAACAAACTCGAGACAACTGTTTTGGTGGCCCGCCGTCCCGGCAGATTCCCCGGCGTCCCGAGGAGCGTTGTCAGAGGTTAACACTCCTGGTGAAACTAGACCCTCCGTCCCTGCCATCACAGGGGGTAAGAGGTCTTCTGGCTTCCCTGCGTCTGCACAGGGCCCTGCCAACACAGGGGAACCAATCACTTCTTCTTTGCCTTCCCGTGGAAGGCCTCCTCTGCCCTGCGCTTGTGCTGAAAGACCCGACTCTTCCACGCGGCCCTGGTCTCGCCTTCTTGTCTGGGAACTTCGGCACGGGCTGTCGACATCCGCATCATTCCAGGGTGGTCTGGAGACTTTGGTTGGGGCGGATCTGCCAAGGTCACCTGCTTCCCTGGTCGTGGCAACGGGCTCCTCTCGCGGCTGCTGATTGGGGGTCTCTCGTCCCTCTCCGTCTTCTTGGCCTCGGGCTTCCTGGACTCCTTCAAAATTGAACCCTTCACTGGTGGGGGGTGGCGCTGAGAGCCTGATGGGGGTGTCAAAGCCATCAGACTCCCGCCGAGTCCCTAGCCCGTCATCTTCTTCAGAAGGGCATCGCTCTTTGCCGTCTTCCACGCCACTTGACGGGCATAGCCCGCCTCCGCCTCAGTTGTGCCGGTCGGGTAATCGTCGAACGGGATCAATTCAAGGTACTTGGAGGCCGCGTCTGAACCGTCCCGAATGGAGAGCAGGATGGACTTGAAGCGCTGCATGAAGATGTCTGCGGCATTGGTGGGCTTTCCTGACACCAAGTAGTCCAAGCCCATCGCAAGAGTCCTCAGCTGCTCACCTAGGGTCTTGCGGTCAATCAGCGGCATGGCAGCAGTGAGAAGGTATCTCACAGCAGCAGGCTGGAGAGTTCGCTCGATCCCCTCCTCGCCGGCCCTGGCCTCACCAAACATAGTGCCCAGCTGCTCGTGCATGAGCCCATACCCCCGCAGGAGTAGGGCCCCTGGCTTCTCCAGGGCAATCTTCTTCAGGCGCCTCTGCCTGCTTGCAAGCTCCCCCGCGTCTCCTCGTCGGAAGACGGTGTCATCGCCTTCTGGCTCGTCTTCAGAGCTGCTGCTGTCCTCGCTGAAGTCCTGCTTCTTTTTGGAAGTTATCTTCCTGAGCGCAGCTGCCACCTTGTCCTGACGGTCTCGCTTCTTTTCCTTTTTCTTCTTGCGCTCGCTCTCCTGCACTCTCAGCGCCAGCACTGCACCGGCATCCTTCTTGGAATCCTTCTTCCTTCTGTCCTCTCCCAAGGTGGCCCTTAGCGAGTCAAGGTCCTGCTCGACTATGCCAAGCTTCCCACGGGGCTCGACCTCATCGGTCAAGATGGCGTCCAACGCTGTAGGCGCCTTCCTGCTCTTGCTCTCCTTCCTTCGGTCTTTCGGCTTTCGCGAGCAGTCGCCTCTGGAATCATCAGAGGGGGACTTCTCTGTTCTCTTCCTTCGCTTCGACTTTTCGCCTTCCTTCTCCTGCCTCCTCCCAGCCTTCACTGGGACTAGATTGGGGCTGTCAGAATCGAAATCCGTGTCCAGGCTAACTTCTTGGACCCCAGCCTTTGGTGCCCGGGTGGCTGGTTTGCTCTTGGGCTGCGTCTGCACCGGTTCCTCCACCCATTCCTCTCTCCTGCCGGGCAACTTGGGCTTCCCCAAGTCAGGCAAAGGTTTCGTCTTCCAACCTTGCACCACCGAAGAAACTTCTCCGGCCGTCACTGCACGCCATCGTTGAATGTGCACCACGCCCTCACGGCCCACCTTGCGCTGACAGCTTCGGAGGGAATGTCTGCAAAGATGGTGGAATTGGTCCTGCCCATGAGACGTCTCAAGCCAGTGCTGATAGTAACCATCTGATACTTGAATGTAAGCGATCTCGACAAAGCCACCGTCATCGTCATGTCGGAACTTCTTGATCAGCTTCGCAATCGCATATCCCTGAGAATTTCCAGAGTCGTCTAAACATTCAAAGTACAGGTGATCCTTCAGCCCATCATAGAGCCCAGAGAAAACCTCACTCCGGGCTTTGTAGCCTTCGTAAAGGCTATCCCCTGCAGCCATCACTGCAGGGGCCAAATGCACCCAACGGATGCACCCTTAAGCCCAAAACTCACGTGCAAGCGGTCATGTGTCAGGGGCAGTGAGAACTCGAACATGCCTACTGAACAACATCATAAGGACATGGAGACTATGGCAGTCAATCCGACAGCAGCCGTCGATGGTATCATCGATCCGACTGACCAGGAAGATTCATACGTTCAGCACTACGAACTCAAATCAGATGATTGATCCTCACCGCCTACAAGACTATACAGAGAGAGATCAATAGTTTCACATTCGTCCCGCGTGTACGTAGTGTTGTGCATCACCTTTTGATACATCTCGGTATCTCACAGAAGCAGTACATAGTGTTTTCCCATTTCGCAAGCCAAGACATTTCATCCGAGCAGAAAAGAGGATGAATCCGGCATTTTAGTACACATGGCTACGGCATACAGCAAGGCTACGGCCAAAGGCCATGAAGCCAATAGTATTTCATATCTAGTGCTGGAGATCAAAAGAAATTTGTGTCTGTTTTGTGTTTGGTTTGTTACACAATTGATCTCCCGCAACCATTTGGCTCAAGGCCCTTTCTGTATCATAGCAATACTCATGATTGCGTGACAAAGGAACCTTTGCAGGCCGCTTACAGGATTATCCACAAGACAATCCACCAGGGACAATCCATCCTCCAATCATCCATAGTGGCATATTGGATTCTCTCCGGAATAGATCCAGGGACCTAAACAACGACCTCTACTACCACAAGGGTACCAGTTCCCTTCTGGGATAGGTACCCCGGCAGTGGGCCTCACCCCCCCCCCTCCGCGCCACAAGGAAACTCTCGCGCTGAATTGGCCTTGCACAAACGCATGCCGCTGAAGAACAGGGGCATAAGATACACCAAAGGATCACGATAGTGCCATCTGACAATGCTGAGCCTTGAAGCGTCCCCTGCTTTGTGCTCGCTGAACCGCGGCCACCAGAAGGAAACCAAAGGCCCCTCAACCCCGTTGGACTCCCAAAACAGATTTCGGTTCTGCTTTCGGTCCGCATCTAAAACTGCAGAAGCACAGAAGCAGGGGTTCCGACTCCATACAAACGCCAAACACCCAACACTTTTTTCCGGAAGCCGATTGAATTGCCAAGGCGCAATCCGTTTTGAAGCGGTGGATAGGCCCAAAGGCGTCTCGACCCAAGAAGTGCTCGAAACGGCGCCCCGCCACACGAGACGCCCAGTTCGCCTTCTGCGGGTGCCTTCGCGATGCGTGGCTGGCGTGGTCTGGATCAGGGTAGTTGAATAGGATGTCGGTCGAAAAAAGCAGCCGGCATGTTTCACACCACGGTGCGGGCAGCGGGTTGAACTTTTGCCCAGCAGGGAAGCCCTCGAATGCATCTCAAAATGGTGAACAGTTTGGGAAGTTTTGAAACACCCAGAAAACCAGCCGAACCCATGGGGTCAGTTTCTTGAAGCTGGGGGAGACTTCAGCCCGAATGCAGGGTGAACGAAAACACCCCGTAAAAACGGTTTCACATCCGTGAAGCGGACAATGTGCGGAGTTTGCGACCAACTTTCACCCGAATGTACTTATTGATCTTTTGAGGTGTAGCCGGGTCTCCGTGGGTCAGTGAGGTGTCTCCACTCCAGCAAAGGGGCACTTGAGGGAATCCATGGCCAAGTCCAAACATACGGGGGCAGTGTGGGTTTGGATTTGTTTCAAAAGGAGGGCTTTACCGAAGTCACTCTTGGTCCCAATATGAGTGACGTTTTTTCGAGTTGGTGCCCCATTTTGACACTTACCAAAAGGAACACCATTTTCTTGTGTTCTGTTTTGTTGGGGGGCCGCACATTTTGAGCCACGCAAGAAACGACAACTGGGTGATTATTCGGTCTCTTTAAAAACAAATGCTGCCTCGGGATAAAGCTGGTGATGTCGTACACGGAGCCATTGAAGCTAATCCAGGCGTCGTTCTCCTCAGATCCGGGCCCCGTTACGCGCCAAAGATTCAGTCACAGACCTGACATAGCTTGGCCATAGGTGTCCTCTTGGGAGAATAGATGGGCCTGGTCGCTTGTGAAAAAACACAGCGCACTCCCCGCTACACGCACCACGTACTTGAAGTTGGGATCAGTCCACGGTAGCCCACGCCAGCCGATTGATGCTCGAACCCTCGCCACGAGTGGTTTTAAATGGGAGCCCGCTGTCAAAACAAACGTGGGATTTACCACAAATAGAACCCACAAAATGCAACTCCGCTGGTGGTGTCACCCACATGCGTTGGACATCATGGACATTGCAGTGTCCTGCAGGAAACCACACCTACTAGCCGCCCAAGCGAGGCTCGGAGCGGTGCTTCCGCACCTCCTCCTCGCTGATCCTCCGCTCGCAGCGCGAGAAGCCGAGGCCGCCGCTCGCAAGGCCGGCAGGCGCCACCCGCGCCCAGCGCGACATGGCGGGCCGCTCGGTCGCTCCGTCGCTCGGCCACCCCGGGAGGAGGAGGGCGGCTTGGACGGGGGAGGGGGGTTGTCCCGTTTCAAGAACACACAGTTCAGTGAAAAGGGCCTGTGCCAGCATGCCTCCAGTTGCTTGAGCAAATATGCAAATATGTTCTTGCAATGTGTATGGAGCCTGTCATCGATCGATCCTGGAGGTCCTGCTCATCGCGACTCAACGCTGCCAGGGGCCCACCTGGTAGGCGCTGTCTGCGCTGGCGCCGCACCCCATCCTAGCCGGCTTGGGCGCAAGGCCAATCCTTTCAGGCTTGGGCCTGCAGCAATGTGCACTTTAGCTGATGGATGAGCTTCTTTTGATCTTCATGTGAGTGACCTCTTGTACGGAAGGATCCAAGTCGACAAGAGCCACATCACGGCTCCGCAGGTCTTGCGCGGAAACGGCTGAGATCGCTCCCCGCGCCTGGATTCTCAATCCATGCCTGGCCGCGATCGATCCATGCCCGCACTGCCCGGTGGCCACTGCCATGAATTGAATCTCACGGCTCCCAATTTCCAAGGTGCCGGGCTTTCAGCTTGCCCGAGGAAAAGACATCCAAAGCATCCCATACGATCCCAGTTCCGCAGAAAGGCGATCAAGTAAGGTTGTGAAACATCGGCTGGGCCAAATTTTAAGCTTGGTTAGTGTGGAAGCCATACTTTACGGCGTCACCTGCGTGTATCTATTATAATCATGTTTACTTGGAACCTGCAAGAAGGAACCCAAGTACAGAAGTTTCATGGTGAGTCGGATTTTTGGGTGAGCTGAAACGGACTATCCAAAGGGCAAATCGAGACAGGGCCGCGCGGGTCCCGCCTGCAACTGGCTTCGCCAGGCTAACGGCATCAAGGCGCAAGCGGCTTGTTACGACAGATCTGACAGCTTTGGCCGGCGCATTGCATCCAACTGAACCATGTCAAACTAACAAAGGAGACCCGCAATGTGGTGAAAAAACATACAACCGCATTCGAGGGCCACGTGTTCTATGTCTCGCCTGCAGCGCCTCTTAAGCCCAGCCACAGCTGCCCTACCAAATCAACACCTGGGAAGAACGAGGGGGGTTCCTATCCGTACATGTCTCTTTTGGACCCCCCAAGTGTTGCTTATTTGGTGTCACACAGTTTCATACATTACTCGGGGGCTATCCCCAAACTTCCTGTCAAAGGCATGCAGCTGACACTTCCCAGATTGACTCTGCAGCCTTGCACCTAGCGAAGAAATGTCCCGCGTGATATTGTGGGATGCCTCGTCGAAAATTCACAATCACCCATGGCCGACCCAGCACGGACTGAAATGTTGCAAACTGGTCGGAGCGAGCAATCACAGGTGAGTGTCCCATTTTCAAGACGGCTCTCAGGCTCCTCTGCCGAGCGAGGTGGGTGAAACCGAAACGGCATGAGCGTGCTCTACCCACATGGGACCCCACATATGGCCGCCGACTCTTTTGCGGTACCCTTGACCACAAAACAAGCCGCGCACAGGTTTTTATGTATTATGTTTACCAACACGTTGAACACCTACGTTCACACAAATGATTGAACAAAATGGTCCGGGCAAATACGGCCAAACCGGGGGGCTTTTGGCCGAAGAAAGCTGCGTTTGGGGCGCCAGGCAGGTCAAGCGCGTGGTCGCCGCTGCCGCCAAAACGCAGAAACGCCAAAACGCCGCTGCCAAGAAAAAAACCTCAAACGCAGAGATTGAAGGCTGGCTGGCAGGTTGTCCGCGAGCTTCTCAAAGCTTGCGTCCGTGAATTTCTCGTTCCTGGAAAAATCCAAATCCAGAGATTGAAGACTCGCTGGCAGGTTGTCCGCGAGCTTCTCGAAGCCTGCATTCGTGAGGTTCTTGCTGAAGTAAAAATCCAAATGCAGAGATTGAAGGCTCGCTGGCAGGTTGTCCGCAAGCTTCTTGAGGCCTGCATCCGTGAACTTGTCGTTGAAGCGAAAATTCAAATGCAGAGATTGAAGGCTCGCTGGCAGGTTGTCCGCGAGCTTCTCGAAGCTTGCGTCTGTGAAGTTCTTGCTCGAGGAAAAAATCAAATGCAGAGCTTGAAGACTCGCTGGCAGGTTGTCCGCGAGCTTCTCGAAGCCTGCATCCGTGAAGTTCTCGTTCGAGGAAAAATTCAAATGCAGAGATTGAAGGCTCGCTGGCAGGTTGTCCGCGAGCTTCTCGAAGCTTGCGTCTGTGAAGTTCTTGCTCGAGGAAAATTCCAAATGCAGAGCTTGAAGACTCGCTGGCAGGTTGTCCGCGAGCTTCTCGAAGCCTGCATCCGTGAACTTGTCGTTGGAGCGAAAATCCAAATGCAGAGATTGAAGGCTCGCTGGCAGGTTGTCCGCAAGCTTCTCGAAGCCTGCATCCGTGAAGTTCTCGTTCCTGGAAAAATCCGAATGCAGAGATTGAAGACTCGCTGGCAGGTTGTCCGCGAGCTTCTCGAAGCCTGCATCCGTGAAGTTCGTGTAGAAGCCAAAATCCAAATGCAGAGATTGAAGGCTGGCTGGCAGGTTGTCCGCGAGCTTCTTGAGGCCTACATCCGTGAAGTCCTCGTTGACGCCAAAATCCAATCGCAGAGCTTGAAGACTCGCTGGCAGGTTCTCCGCAAGCTTCTTGAGGCCTGCATGCGTGAAGTGCAGGCGCAAGGAAAAATTCAAATGCAGAGATTGAAGGCTCGCTGGCAGGTTGTCCGCGAGCTTCCCGAAGCTTGCATCCGTGAACTTGCCGTTGAAGTAAAAATTCAAATGCAGAGATTGAAGGCTCGCTGGCAGGTTGTTTGTGAGCTTCTCAAAGCTTGCGTCCGTGAATTTCTCGTTCCTGGAAAAATCCAAATCCAGAGATTGAAGACTCGCTGGCAGGTTGTCCGCGAGCTTCTCGAAGCCTGCATCCGTGAAGTTATTGTGGAAGTGAAAATCCAAATGCAGAGATTGAAGGCTCGCTGGCAGGTTGTCCGCGAGCTTCTCGAAGCTTGCGTCCGTGAACTTGTCGTTGAAGTGAAAATCCAAATGCAGAGATTGAAGGCTCGCTGGCAGGTTGTCCGCGAGCTTCTCGAGGCCTGCATCCGTGAAGTTCTTGTTGAAGCCAAAATCCAAATGCAGAGATTGAAGGCTCGCTGGCAGGTTGTTTGTGAGCTTCTCAAAGCTTGCGTCCGTGAATTTCTTGTTCCAGGAAAAATTCAAATGCAGAGATTGAAGACTCGCTGGCAGGTTGTCCGCGAGCTTCTCGAAGCCTGCATCCGCGAAGTTCTTGTTGAAGCCAAAATCCAAATGCAGAGATTGAAGACTCGCTGGCAGGTTGTCCGCGAGCTTCTCGAGGCCTGCATCCGTGAAGTTCCTGTTGAAGTCAAAATCCAAATGCAGAGATTGAAGGCTCGCTGGCAGGTTGTCCGCGAGCTTCTCGAAGCTTGCGTCTGTTAAGTTCTTGTTGTGGCTAAAATTCCAATGCAGAGATTGAAGGCTCGCTGGCAGGTTGTCCGCGAGCTTCTCGAAGCTTGCGTCTGTGAAGTTCTTGCTCGAGGAAAAAATCAAATGCAGAGCTTGAAGACTCGCTGGCAGGTTGTCCGCGAGCTTCTCGAAGCCTGCATCCGTGAAGTTCTCGTTCGAGGAAAAATCCAAATGCAGAGATTGAAGGCTCGCTGGCAGGTTGTCCGCGAGCTTCTCGAAGCTTGCGTCTGTGAAGTTCTTGCTCGAGGAAAATTTCAAATGCAGAGCTTGAAGACTCGCTGGCAGGTTGTCCGCGAGCTTCTCGAAGCCTGCATCCGTGAAGTTCTCGTTCGAGGAAAAATTCAATTGCAGAGATTGAAGACTCGCTGGCAGGTTCTCCGCGAGCTTCTCGAGGCCTGCATCCGTGAAGTTCTTGTTGAAGCCAAAATCCAAATGCAGAGATTGAAGGCTCGCTGGCAGGTTCTCCGCGAGCTTCTCAAAGCTTGCGTCCGTGAATTTCTTGTTGAAACCAAAATCCAAATGCAGAGCTTGAAGGCTCGCTGGCAGGTTGTCCGCAAGCTTCTTGAGGCCTGCATCCGTGAAGTTCAGGTTCGAGGAAAAATTCAAATGCAGAGATTGAAGACTCGCTGGCAGGTTGTCCGCGAGCTTCTCGAAGCCTGCATCCGTGAAGTTCTTGTTGAAGCCAAAATCCAAATGCAGAGATTGAAGGCTCGCTGGCAGGTTCTCCGCGAGCTTCTTGAGGCCTGCATCCGTGAAGTCCTCGTTGAAGCCAAAATTCAATCGCAGAGCTTGAAGACTCGCTGGCAGGTTCTCCGCGAGCTTCTTGAGGCCTGCATCCGTGAAGTCCTCGTTGAAGCCAAAATCCAAACGCAGAGCTTGAAGACTCGCTGGCAGGTTCTCCGCGAGCTTCTCGAAGCTTGCGTCCGTGAAGTTCTGGTTGTGGCTAAAATTCAATTTCAGAGGTTGAAGACTGACTGGCAGGCTGCCCACCACCTCCTGCGCCCCAGAGCTGAAGAAGGTGGCGGCCCTTTTGCGTGCAGCCCTTCTACCGTCGCGCGGTGCATTTCAAGCCAACGCTAATTCAAAGGCCCCACACCCCCAATCATAGCTGAACCAACTTTAACCATGACAGTTCGTTGCTATGCAGTGCTCTTGGCCTTACCTAGCCCCTGCACCCCCCAGCTCCTTCAAGCTGCTGAATCGCAGGCACAAAGACGTCCAGGACGGGCAGCGGAAAAGAGTGCTTTGCAAAAGGTGCGTGAACCACTTCTCGTCAGCAGTGTCCTCCCGCATTGGCAACCAACAAGTGCCATTTGTTGCTTGCTGCGTATGCTGCAGAAATGGCTTGAAACAAAGAACATGTTCCTTTAGATTGCCCTTCAAAGCTTGCAACCTAATCAGGCAGAACAGGTTAAACAACCCAGAAGAGTCAACATTCAACCCTGCGATAAGCGCGCTTTTCTTGAGCCATGCGTAGCGGGTATGACGGAGCTACGCCAGGGAGACACTCGTGCAATTGGGGTAATTGAGGTTGATAAATACATCACATTGCAAACTACACCCCCCGTGCCCGATAGTGTGTGTGAACCCAAGCAGCATGAGGTCATTTGCAGGCAACGAGCACTTTGCGTACAAGCAACGGCCAGTTAAGGTCTTCCGCCTCTGCTGGGCACCGCTTTCGCGAGGCAGTGCCCGTTCCTGTACCAACATGATACAATAAGTATGTCAAGAGATGGCAAGATGACGTCCCGTGGGACGTTGTCCACCGAACCCTCCAGCTGTGAATACTCAACCACGTAGAAAGGGTATACGGCCAAGCCGTTATAGCCAAACCAGTGCAAACTGTTGTAAGGGGGTAAAGACCAATAACCACGATTGTACACTCAATATCAGCAGCGCAAATCAACCTGTTTTCTCACTCTCTCAGATCGATCACAGGCGAAGGTAGTACATGCAAGACCTCGAGCCCTACTTGTGACTTGAGTCAAAGTGGCGTCCAATGGAACATCATAACCAACAAGAACATGGACCTCAGAACAGCTTCCCAATTGTTAGGCACGGGGCCAGGAGGGTTTTAACATCCCCCATTTGGGTCGCATTGTTCATCATGCGGTCCAAACACCACAACAAGTCCCAATGGCCACGGCTCCGACTACGAAACTGTGTCGAACATTCTTCCACTCACTACTGCAACGCCGTTCATTCATTGTGAAACTTGCCGGGTTCAATCAAATCAGAAACGTGCATCCGCAAATCGTAGCACATTCCTACACACAGAGGCAAGAGGCATTCTGCCTCATACCATCACGCAACCATTGAAAATCCCAGCTGCCGCATTTGCGCATCGCGCGGCCGTCATCCACAGAAATGGGTTGGCCATAGAAATCCATAGCAGCGCATGGCCATAAGCCATCTGAATACCACCGGCAAAGAAATTTGGCGAGCAATATATGCAAAAAATAGCCATTCCAGATACCACGAATAATAAGGAAAAGAAATCATCCATGAGGTAATAGTGCCCATCCATGAATATCCGGAATGCCATAGTCGTCGGAATATGTAAATACATACACATTCATTTTCCTTGGACAAATGAAATCGCATCATATTGAAATCATTCCATCGTAGTGAAATCGATGTGTTGCCGGCGATGGATGGGGTCTAGCCCGCACCATGCCGCAAACTGCATCGTAGTGGAATTAATATGTTGCTGGCGATGGATGGGGTCTGGCCCGCACCATGCCGTAAAAGCAACGACAATTCCACATTTGCATCACATAGGTCGGTCCACAATGGCCATCCTATTGATGCGTCGACGGAATTCTTCGTCCAAGTTGTGTTGGGCGTCTCGTGCTCGGACGTACTTCCTGTGGTGCTCGTCTGCAAGCCAGTGTCCCTTTCGGATACACCAATCAAGCAGGGGTCCGTCGCACTTGCCCGGGTCTGTGGCTGCAATGATGGCGTTGACCACGTATCCATGCTTACCAAGGTTCAGCCCAGCCCTTGCGAACGATATGTATTTGCAGTTAAACGCCAGGGAGAAGCATCTGTAGACAATGTCCCCCACCGAATGCGTACGCTCTTTGACCAAGAGCTTCATCTCATCCTTGGTAATGTCGAGGATCTTTGCTGCAATCCACAATTTGTAGAAAATGTACAGCCCCTCGCATTTGAGCGCCAAATAAGGAATGTATTGGTTGCGCTCCTCGACCGTCCTGAAGGTCCTTGCCCAAACATTCTGAGATTGAGAAACCTTAAGTTCATTTGATGGTAAAATGATACCATCCCGATCAATATCAGTGATGTTGGGGTATTTTCCAAAGTCATTGTGGTATGGACACGCGTGGGTCCCTTCGAGTGTGGCATCTATTGTTCTCTTCTCGCCAGCCTCGAACATCCCCCACATCCTTGACATTTGCAGCGCAATGAACCCTGCCATGTATTGAGCCTCACGCGGTTCGTCCATGCAGATTGCCATCCTTTGGGAGTTGATGATATCCCGTGCTGCCATGTCATTGTCGCGGTAATCCCATCCACTGTCTTCTTCTTCGGACACGTTACCGGATGTATATCCTTGTGTGCCCATGTCGTCATCTTCGGGATCATCCTCCAGTCCACCATGCTTCCCTTGTGCTGCCGTATTGTCGTTTGCTTCCTCTTGTGCTCGCCTGGCGTCTCCGGACACGTTGGGTCTATGATCATCATCATCGTCATCAGAGCCGATGTTGACGCAGAATCTCCCGGTAGAGATCAGTTGCGCTCCACACTCCAGGCATATACAGAAGCACGTAGGAATTGCGGTTGCACATGACGGACAAATTCGGCATCTGAGCCCTTCCCAAGTCTCGTCATTCAGGATGATGGTCTTGCTGATCTCATCTCTGATCTCGTTGGTCAGAGTTTCCAACTCTTCACGTTTGCCGTCCCGAAACAGCTTGCAGGCACGATCCACCATCTCTTGAACGTAGTGTAGATTGTCGGCGCCCGCCTCTGTTTCCGGCGATCCCTCGATGACCTTTGCGACGTTCTGAAGGAACATCAAGGCCGACTCCTGGGATGAGCCAACGAAACCAGGACAGATCTCATTCTCGACGCATTTCGAGTACGCCCGCTTGACGTCCTCGATCTCCAGGCATTTTCCTTCGTTGCTCTTGCCGATCCAAATGGACTTGACTTCATAGAACGGGATCACATCGAAGACCATAAACGTCCCGTTGAACGCAACTCCAGCTCCATACCGTGCAAGAGTTGCACTGGGAGTGTAGATGATTGCAATCGGATCCCCAACCCGCAGGTTGCGTAGCGTCGTCTTCGTCGCCATGTTCATCTTGTCCCATGGAGCAAATGCCCCGAAGTGCAGGGCCAGCCTGTTTCCGCCATCGATTCCGCCGGGGACCAGCCCGCAACGTACGATGCTTGGCAGGTTTTCCACATATGTCACATGGAATGCTCCTCCAAGAGAATCACCCATCCTTGCGGAATACCTATTTGCCAGTGCGGATGAGCTCATGAAACCAAAGTCGCTGTGACCGGTTGTGGCCCGAATACACCAAGGTCTGTACCATCCATCGCATCTGGCGAACATCGTGTCGATCTCACCCTGATCGTGGCCCATGTAGTTTAACTCCAGTCTGGCGGCCCTCGCGTCGTTCGGGTTCATGATGCTCGGAAACCTTGCTGCTAGGATCTGAAATCTCGATTTCTTGTATCCAGATTCCTGCCACTTGATCACCTCCATGATGCCCATGTAGCGTCTCGCTTTCGAAGTTTTCGGTGGGAATATGTTGTTCTGCCGGTCGTCGATGATTGCGTCAATATCGACCCATCCACCTTCATCACACTTGAAAGCACTTCCTCGGCAATTGCCGATCTTGTGTCGAAGGACTCTGCAAAGATCATGAGATAGCTGATTAGCTTGATCTCTCGATGCGAACACAGAATGTTCATCACCAGTCTTGCAATGTGGAGCGTCATCGAAGGGGTAAATGCAGAAGTTGATGCTTTTGCCAAGCTGTGTCACATCGATCTGCTCTAAGATGGCGCCCTTGGGGAAGAATTTGGGATCCGTCATTGAAGCGTACGCCCATGGCATGTAGACGCTACTCGTCACCAAACCTCGGGATGTAGCATGAAATTGTGTCACATCCTCGCTCCAACGTTGTCTTGAATGTCCTGTGATCCCCGCACGGATTGAAGGTAAGGTCCACACCTCCGCATTGTAGCTCACCTCCTTCAGCCGTGTCAGCCATTTCCACCAGATTGATGGTATAGCTATACATCTCTATTATTTCTTTCCCCTTTTGTCCTCCTTTTCTTGTGTTCCTTGGATGTCGATGATGATGGTTCTTCAGAGCGGTCGTGAGGACTCGTACATACTACCAATTTGCGCGCCGGCTCACGACAGCAAATCCTGGGCAGCACCAGTGTCCGCAATCCATGGAATATGGGAAGAATCCATTGGTAGTTGAGCAACAGCAGCGCTTTTTTCGGAGGGGAATCGTCAGGCTCTTCTGGCACGGCCGTTAGGCCTGCAGGAATGCAGGAATCACAGCCGAAATCGCATTGAAATTTACATGAAGTCTTTGTGCCCTTTAGCATTCCATACACCGTTGCTTCATGCATAGCACCGAGAAGAGTTGCATCTGAAATAGCTCTCTCATCGAACTGAACTTTGGAACATTGTTCACCGGACTCTTGTGCAAACCTTCTCGACGAGGCAATGTAGGCCAAAGCTCGCCGTCAGTCTCATAGTTTGAAATGGATGGGTAATCCGTGAATTGCACACACACTTCTTGACACATGGCACTCCCTGAAAAACATCGCGATTCACACTAGGCAGGCAAGGGTACGAGGCGACCGTGTCGAGGGTCGCGGCGCACACCATCGCCTGGAGGAGGCACACCGCCGCATTGCCGCCCTTTGACGAGCCCGGAGACTTAAGGGACTGAGAACCCTTGGGATCTTTCGACTCCTGAAAAGATTGCCTGCTCTTTTTCTTCTTCTTTTTCTTGTCTCTCGGCGATGCCTTGGGGGTGTCTCCACTAGTGGTCTTGCCGGCCTTTGGGGCGGGAGCCGCTTTGGAAGTTGCGGGGCGCTGCCATGGGCAGTCCTTCCCTCTCTCGCATCTGTTCGCTTTGAAAAACTTGCCTGCCTGGGGCTTCGGTCCCGGGGTGCGAACGGTGCTTCCTTGGGGTCTGTGGTCTTGATCCGCCCTTCTTGCCTTTCCCCTTTCCCTTAGGTGCCTTTACATGTTCAAATCGGCAGTCTGATCCATAGGTGCACTGGCCAGTTTAGAACTTAACACATACACCTTTGGGAACTCCAGGAACAGCAGGATTGTTCGATGGAGTCCGGCCACGTCCTGTCGTGTTGTTCGACACAGCATCCCGAATGTGAACAAGACGCTTCCGCTCCAAATAGTTTCTCGATGAGTCGAGCAAGAACTGGTAGGAGTGCTTTTCCGATCCCTCCTCCCCGCTCGTACTCGTTGAGATCGTGACTGAGAGGACGCAATTTCCGGATCTGGCGGTGGAACAGCGCCTCGACTGTTTTCTCGTTCTGCTCGTTGCCCATACCAGCGATGACCGTTATCCCATCTTGTCATGAAATTCCTCAGGTCCTCGTTGATGAGCTGGACAGAAAGCAAGTCCTCGAAATCATAAATAGCACATGTTTGATATTCATGCTTAGAGTGCTTGTGAATCATCAAGAGAATCAGGCGGCCCCTCGCGTATCGTCTTTCCTTTGCTGCCAGCTTTGCATCAAGATGAACAAACATGCCTGAATCACGAAGGACTTCAACTGACTGACCAGGGATCCAAGTTGCCTCAATCCACTCAAATGCCTTTTCGGGTTGGTCGGAAGTAGCAACAACAGCATCCCTAACTTTGATCCTCTCCAATTACGGTACTGTTCGGCCTTCGGGAAACGGGGGATTTGAATTCGATCGCCCTCCTTTACACGAACGCGTTCCGTTGTCGGATCGCTGGAAATTCCTAAGTGCTTCAGTAGCTTTCGTCGAAACGACTCATCAGATGCTGTAGACGATGGATGAAGAGGATGAAGGAGATAATGGATCCCTTCGCATCCGTCGGCTCCGGTCCTTCTTCTTCTTTTTCTAAATGTTTCTTTTTCTTGTCCTTCTCATCTCCGCCATCTCCATCATCACCAGGCCGACCGTCTCCAGTGGCAGCATCTGCCACGACCCCGGCGGGAACGGATCCCTTTGCTGTAGTCGAAAGTCCGGGGGGAGATGCGACTATGGGTACTGGAGGCATGGCCAATGGAGTTGCTGGTGCTTGTTGAGCAGGAGGCGCATGAGCCGGAGCAGGTTGGGCAGACTGTTATTGTTGAGTGTTCATCATCTGCTCAACCATTGCCCTCAGCTCCTTGATCTGCCTGATCGCTGATGGTGTTCATGGCGATGCGATATTTCATCTCGGCCTCTCTCTCTGACTTCAGAGTGTTGGCACGTTGTTCCGCATTCATCTGGTCCAGTCTCATGGCGTCAGATTGGCTTTAGAGCCCAGCGATGATCTCGCTGTGCCTTGCTTCTGCCACCTGGACCAGTGTCCTGATTCACAAATTGGTTGATCTGGGCATTGTTCTGGGTAGCGTTGAACTGCTGGTAGTTCGTCACCTCTTGGTTGACCGTCATCGAAGGATCGAGGCGAACGTTTGCGACATGTTGATTGAATTAAGTCATAGACTGTGGCATAGCGTTTCCCCTTGCGAGGTCGGACTGAGGGTCGTGCATGACGATGTCACCGATCTGATCCAACGGGTGAAGCAGATCGAGCACCTGACCGCTCAGGCCTTCCGCGGTTGCTCCTGGATCGAAGCGATTCGGGCCTTGACTGCTCAAAGCTTGTCCCTTCCTGATGAGCTCTCTGGCCACTTGTGAGTTCGCGCGACTTGTAGGTACGTAGTGCGAGGCATCCTCTTCGCTCGCACGCTCATCAGGTGTGGGACGCACCTCAGTAGGAGGTACTCCAGGGTCGCCATCCATGGCGTACAACTCTGTACAGTGAGCCGCTTGCGGCTGACAGCCTATAGGCCATGCGTAGCGGGTATGACGGAGCTACGCCAGTGAGACACTCATGCAATTGGGGTTATTGAGGTTGATAAATACATTGCAAACTACAGTAGTGAATGAACCCCGGGCTCCTTCTCGAACTCCAGCTTGAGGCAAGTTGGATCTTGCAAGACTGCGGCTGCCACCGAACTCCAGTCAGCATCGGGCACATCATGCAAAGCGAGCCTGATAAAATCCCGAAGCTTGGAGTCACTTGGACATGGAAGCGATCTCATGACCGCAACGCAGGAAGCGAGGTCAAGACGACGCGATTCCAAAATCTGCATCAGTGAGTCGTTGAATTCTTTCACCTCCTTGTCCACAGCCCCCCTGGCCGCCCCAGAAGCTTCCATGGCGCGAATTACTAGATCGCCCATCCGCAGGTAAACATCCACAAAGAACCTACCAAGCTGCGACCCACGGTCTTGCAGCTCCTCTTGCGCTGCCCTCAGCATGTAGTCCCGCCGCTCTGTCAGTCCAAGGAACCACGCGCTGCCTGACCCCGCCTGGCTCCACGGCGGCAGGTCGTCCAAGTGCTTCTCAACTGTTGCAGTCACTGACGCAGCGAAGGTGAGCCACGTCCAGTGCTGCGTCTTGGTGATAGCATCGTGCAATCTCCGCTCGGCGGATCTCATTCCCTGGGCAAGCACCGCGAGACTCACTTTGAGTTCCTGCTTGAGCTCCTGCTGCGTCCTCATAACGTCATCTGTTGAAGCCGCTGAAGACATCAGCCGTCCAGCCACTGCCGACAAGGTGTCCGCCACTTTTGACTGCAAGACCTGGGCCAGACAACTCGTTGCCTATGGAAAAGGAACGATGAAGGAACCACCCAAAGGCAAAAAAATCAAACAGAGCAGGAGGGCTTTTTTTTGGCAATGGGACCTGGCCCTCTATCGCGTCGTGCAAAGTGTGAAAGTAGGACTTGTCGGAGCCTTCCATGGAATGGCTCTTCAAAGACAAGCCCAGCCGACCGCAGCTCCCCAACGAGTACCCCTCCACCACATGAACGAAGCCCCACTTTTCCAGCGGCACCCGCCACACCGGATCTGCCTGGTTGGCAAAACGGGCGGTGCGGCGGTGCAAGTCAAGGGCTTTGTAGAGCTCCACGAAGTTCTTGGCCCCCACCCTAGGGCACCCAAAGGTCACCACGGCCTCGACGTGAACGAATGACTTCAAATGCACCGCTGCCAGGGTGGCCAAAGCCCCGCCCAGCGAGTGCCCCGCAACACGCACTCGGACATGCCCATCTCTGGCCTGCAGCCACTCAAGGATCTTGGGCTTCACCAGGCGGTAGGCATCCTGAAAGCCTTTGCGGACCTGTGGCTTTGTGTTCGTCGCCATTTCGTTGTAGGTGTCGGGGTCCAAGTCTGTCAAAGCGCCGTCAAAGTTAGAGGCCCAATTGGCAGACGACTCCACGCCAGAAGCATCCTGCCCAACCGTGCCCCGGAAAGCAATCTCCACCGCAGCGCAGCCTTTGATTTGCCTGGCAATGACCCTCGTGTTGGTGTGTCGGATCTCTGCGATGACTTGCCAAATCTTACCCTCTTCTTCGACGTGCTCCTCACTCTTCTTGTTGTACGCAGCCTTCGCCATCTGCCAGAAGCTCCTCACCCTGCTCTCCTTGAAGGAAGCGCCCAGCAAGGCTTCGGCGAAAGGCGACCCTTCTGGGTCAGGTTCTAGCTCATCACCCCCGGGCTCGACTTCCGAGGCGTGGGACTGCGATGTCGGTTGCAAAGCCCCGGGTGCTGCGAGCCCGGCCGGCTGTGAGGGCTGCATTTGCGGTGGCCGAGCCGCCTGGCCAAATGGCTTTGGCGCCTGCACCGCAGCCTCTTCAGCAGCCATCGCCACAGCGTCTTCATTGGCAGCCTGAGCCCTTAGCTTTGGCGCCACCTGTGCCACAGCCTCTTCAGCAGCAGCCTGAGCTGCAAATGCCCAAGCGCAAGAACAAACATGCACACCGCTGCTTGCTGTTGTTTTCCGGCACACATCCTGCGCAAACCATGGACGGCGTTGTTCGCTTGCCTATTGGGAAGAGGGGGCCTCTGCTGGTTCGAATGGAACATCAAGAAAACATGGGCTAGGGGATAATGCCAAGCATCGGCCATGAGCTCGTCCTCCCGCTGCTCACGCTGTTGCAGTTCGGCTTCGGCATTCTGAAGCACCTCCTCCTTCAGCCGCAGCTTCCTCAAAGGGCTTTCGGCGACAAGCCCTAGCAAGAGTCTGCAAAGAGTGAGCCGGAAGAAACAAATCTCAAGTAAATCGAAAATTTGTGGGTGGCCAAATGCATGGCCGAATGGGCGGATGGCCCGCCCAACCAAACTGACCCTAAACCAACCTAAACTGACCCTAAACTAAACCCATCCAAAAACACCCTAACGCGAAAGCAACCCTAAGCCAAAACTAACCCCAAACCAGCCGCACAAACAAGCCAAACCAAACTTGAAACACCCTGCTGTTCAAAATGCAGTGTTGGCCAATCCCGAATATTTGGAAAACGACTACAAAAGGGGCCACGGTCGTAACTGAAGGTAAGGCCCGAGGATTGTGATTGAACAGCCAGTGCCAAACCGACTCTAAACCAACATCCAAACCTAAACCAACCGTGAACCGATCCTAAACCAAGCCTAAGCCAAACAAAATACCCTGCACCAAGCCTGAACCAACCCTGAAACACTTTCTGCGTAAATCCGCCCACCCCCAATCCAACCCTGAACCAGCCGTAAACCGAACCTAAATCCAGTCTAAACAAAATTTGGAACTGCGCAAACCCTGGACCAAACCCTACAACAAACCAATCCTAAAACGACCCCAACACCAAACCAACCCTCAAACACGTCAAGCCAACCTCCACCGAAACCAACCCCCGCGCTAACTCCAAACTGACACTACATCAACCCGCCGGACCGATAACCGGCACGGCAAAATTGGACGTTACCGCGCTCATGGTGCAGCCAAGCGCGCGGTGCTTGGGCTTTTGCACTTACCACAACGCGCCCCCGTCAAAACGTGCGGTGCTCCAGTGTGATTTCGCTGAGGCGAAACAAGAGAAGGCCAAAAAAAAGAGTCACGTAAATTTCCTGATTTTACATCAAGCATGTGCAACTTGCCTCAGCGACACGCGCGAACCTGTACACGTGTTCTTTTTAAGTGCTTTTCAGGGGGGCTGTGGTCATCCGGGCTCCATGGCCGCGGCCGCCTGGGTGCCACTAAACACACACAAGGCGGTAGCGATTACCATGTGCCTGGCATGCACCTAGGCATACGACGGAGGGTGGGCGTGCTTACTATGTGCCAGGCAGGGCGTGGGCGGGTGCGCCTACTGCCTACCATGTGCCAGGCATGTGTTCAGGCGTACGACGGAGAGCGTGGGCGGGTGCGCTTACCATGTGCCAGGCATGTAACACAGATGCAGGTGTGCGACGGATAGCCTGGACGGGTCGGCGTGTGCGGTCGGCAAAAAAGAGCTTGCTTAAACATCCCGGCTGCAAGTTCACCAGGTCCAGGGAGTTGACCAGGCTTCATCAAGAGCCACCTAGAGATGAAAATCCAAAAAAGAAAACGCCACGCCGGTTTCCAGGGCGTAGGCTAAATCAACCAAACCCCAATCAACCCTAAACAACCTGAACCAACCCTAAACCAACACTAACCGACCCTGAGCCAACCCTAAACTAGCTGAAGCCGAACGTAAACCAATACCAAGTAAGCCCCGCCAACACCAAAACAACCCTAAACCAAACCTAAACACACCTTGAAACAACCTACCTAAATGGTAACCCAACCCTAAACCAACCCAAATCCCAGAGCCAAACCGTAGACCAAACCTAGGCCTAAGTTGGTCAACATCCTTTTGCCCATATCCTTTTTGGAGCCCATTCCCTCCTTTGGAACTCCGATAACTGACTCTGGGACGTTGCAAGCTCCTCCTCCCTCTGCCTCAAAGTCCTGAAGCTTGCAACTGGGCAACGACGGGCACACGCGCGCCAGAACAACTCAGCCGATGGGACTAACAATTCAAACACAGCACAAGATCTGATGGCCGCCCGCCCGGGCCGGTCCTTTCCAAGCGCTCCACTTCGCGCAGCTCACCTGCCATAGCGCTAGCGCCGGACTCTGGGAGCTGCTTGGACTTTTCGATCAGCTGCTCCAGCAGCTGGCGCTGGTCTAGGCCATTCCTCACCCGAGTCGGAGAAAACGAGGAAGCCCGACGAACCCGCCGATTGGCGGGCCGGTGCTCAGCAACCAACATCAGCAAGCACTTGGGTGTTCAACTAACTTTGTATATAGGTTGTAACCATGGTTGCAACTGGGGCAACTGGGGTCAGTCCCTTTGCAACCATGGTTGTAGCCTACATGGTAAGTGGTCGCACTGGCAAACCCCAATTCACGCAACCGAAAGCAAAAGCCTGCCATGGCCAGCTGGGACTCATGGCCGTGGTCAAGATATCAGCTGCCGTGATGGCGTTGAGCTGTGCTAACATTCGGCAGAACTCGCTGTGCTCGTGAGATTCGGCGATCTGGAGAAAGCCCCTGCCACCAGGTTTGTCACAACATTCGGTTACAACAAGTCGGCTCGGTCCCGCAAAGAGCGGTTGTCACGCAACACACACACACACGTTTTTCGATTGAACCGGTGTTTGCCCCAACCCTGCCTGCCACCATCAGACACAATAATAACATACTCAGCCGTGGAAGCACCCCGCACTGGCCGCAAGTATCTCAAAGCCCCAGCAGTGTAGCGGCGTCCTAGAAACACGCCCTCAGACGGCCGCGCTGGGAACCTGCAAGCGACCAACGGTTTCAATTGGCATGGGCCTCTCTTCCGGCAATGCTTCTATTTCCGATATCGCCAAGGGGCATATGTTTTGGGAATGGTTTGTCCTTTCAAGCCCCTGAAAACTTGACCCCGTCAAACAAAGCCTGTTGAAGTTAACAGTGTGCAGTTTCCAGACTTGGCACAGCCGCCAGTTGTCAAGCCACATGAGTCACGAGGCCAATCATTGAAGATTGAAAGGCTCGCAAGTCTTTGAAGATTGAAAGCAAATATTCCCTCCCTGCCACTAACGTGGCACCTGACAAAGGGCCCTGAAGAGGAAATTGATCCAGGCGCCCCTCCAAGAAATGCTACGTTTGTGGGGGGAGGGGTATCTATGTCGGTCAGCTTTGTGCTTAGTCCCCGTCTGAAAAGGAAAAGGGTTAGCATCCACATGGCTCGGAAGCCCTAAGTGGTTTCCGGCCCTTCTTGAGGGAACTCATGGATGAATGACCCGGAGGATTTTGATTGGGGTGGTCCAATTTGACAAGCAGTCCCGTACAAACCACTGAGAGGCCTATCGTGACTCTGTGGGTTCAAAGAAATAGGCGCCTTTCAAGTTACAAAGGACAGCTGCCACACAAATCCTTGCTCCCCCTCCCACTGAAATATCTTTGCAGCTGTGTAACATTCACCCGCTTCTCACTGGTGTCACAATTGGCAGCTTGTTCATCGCAAGCATTTCTGATTCTTGGGGTCCTGGAAGCAACAGTTTTTCCAGTCTAGCTCCGGTTCCTTCTCCATCTATGATTCAGAAAGCCGTCGTCGTTGTGGAAGGAAGGAATTGTTTTGGCTTCGCCTTGGCTTCGTCTCAAGACCTGCCTGTGCCCTTGCAAAAGCCGCCACGTGCGCAATGAGTCCTGGCACTTCGCCCCATTCCACTTAAATACCCCTCCACAAGCCGGTTTAATCCTGCGCAAGCAATCGGAACTTCCAACTTGTTTGATTAGACCCTAGCTTCTCCCATAGGACTTGGCCAAGAAAAGGCGCTTAAAAGGAACCCCTATTACCCACTTTCTTTCGCCTTACTCCAAAGTCGGGATGAAACAGCTCCCACAACCAACGCCGCAAGACCGCACCTCGCCCAGACACTGCTGGTGCCATCATCGCCCCAAAGCTGGAAGTCCTCCTTCGCGAAGAACGGCATCGATGAGACCTGACGCCAGCTCGCAGGGTGTTAGGTCCAAGCAGTCATGGCCCGCCCGGGAAAATGGAACCCTGGTTGACTTTCATCCCTAGAATGCAGCCGACTGGGAGGTAGGCACAAAGCCAACGCCTGCCCCGACCCTGCCAAATGAATACGGTGCAGATGAAGGAGGAAGGGGTGTAAACTGTGAAGCTGGTGTACACTACGCACGTGGCTAAAAGGGGCATTGTGCCTGCAAGAAGAATATGTATGGGCCAGCGGTGTCAACAAAGTTGGCGGTGTAAGCAGCTGCGAAAGATTGATTGCGCAAACTCCGCACAAAGAAATAAGAGCGGCTAAGTGATAGCAACACAGCAAACCACAGTCCGAAAAATAGAAAAGCTGAAGTAAGCATTGGGTTTTTTGGACAGGCGGTGGCACAGGGCAAAAATTCCAAACCCATAAGCGCAAACATGATGCTAACATCGAGTGTGATGAGTTTGCAGGTAGCCACCGGGGTGCAATTTCGAAGGGCTGACGCAGCGATGACATTCTTCATAAGCAAAACGGATCTGCAGGCAGTCACCGGGTACGTATTCTGTGAGCAGAAACAGTCACGAAAGCAAACATTGGCTCTACAAATCCGAATGGCAAATTATACATACACAGTAAAACCAAGTGGGCTGAGTTTACAAATGGGCAACCGAGGTGCAAACTCAAAGGGCCAAAACATCAATGACAAAGCGCTTGCAAGCATCGGGCGTGCTGAATTTGCAGGCGGTCACCAGTGTAGTTGCTACAAACTCCTGGGGGTGCCTCTTTTTCAAGATGGTTTCAAAGGGCAACGCGAAGGAACACCACATGCAAATTCAACTGGGTTCCGCGCTTTGTCAGTCTTCTCTTTGGGCAGAAGTGGGCCAAAAATCCCCCGGCTTGATCTCACATGTCTGCCGCGGCAATCTGAAGAAAAACGAAGCGAGCCTCGGAAACAAGAACAGCATCCGAGCTCAAAGCGATACCCGAAAAAGACTGAAAGTTGTTGTTGAAGGAACTTTAAAGAACAGCCTTCCCTCTTCGGGTTCTTACTGCCAAGGCAACCCCAGACTTCAGTCAGGTCTTGACAGGTCTTGACGCCAAAGTTTTACTGCCTAGTTTGGCTTTTGAGAGTTGCCTTATGTTGCCTTCGTGCAGCGGTAGACTTGGACTCTGGAGTTCAAATGTCATTGCTTTTTGTAGTGTCACGGATACACACCCTATACTTCGTCTTTATTTAAGAGGCTTGCAACATTGTTGGCTGCCATGTGCGACAAATGTTATCACGGTGACGGTGATCACGTGATGATGAGCACGATGATGCTACTGACGATGATGGTGATCGCGACGGTGATTTGGCTTTCTAAAAAAAGACGATGCTGATGATGATGGTGGTGTTGATGCGATGGTGGTTGTAGTAGTTATCATGATGATGACTACACATCCCCGGCATCACCAGTAGTGGGGCAACAATGACCATGATGACGATGTTGATGTCAGCCGGTCGTGTAATGCCGCAGCATGTCACTTGCACAGTAGTTGAGTGCCAAGGGGTTGCCTTCCCGTCCCTTAAGTCTGCCCCCAAGCCTGCCGCTGCGCCCGCAGCTTGCACTGTTGTCATCCGTGTCGTCGCTTACAAAGGCTACATGCCGGACCAGCTTTGGAAACGTGCGGTCAGCTCACCTCGGGTCATGCTTCAAGAGTGGACCCGACTCGCATGCCGTATGCCCAGCACTCCTGTGTCAAGGATGCGTGGCAGTTCACCAAGGAAACCAGAGCTGGAGACCAGGCCACGACGGGCCTGGTGCGCATTGACTGCGCGGCCCTCAACGCGGCCTTCAGTGCATCTGGCCAGCAAGGAGTCTTTGTCGAGCCGGTCGGGCGCCAGGATACCACCCTGAGGCGTATGTGCGCTGGCATAAGCCTCGGCCTGGCAAGTCATGGAGCGCCTTGCACGCGCGCCTGTTGCAGACCAAGCCTGGGTACGGCTTGCTGCTGGGTGCACGCCAGCTCGGCGCACAAGCCTGACCCCGCCATCACTCCTGAGCGCACCTGGCAAGTCGCCTCGACTCCTCCGAGCTGGTCTGACGACTTCGTCAGAAACCTGGTTGAGTGCCAAACCACCTTGGTCTCGCCGCAGGTGTTGCGCCTTTAGTTCGGGTTACGTGCGCCCAGACAGCGGCGCCGTCAGAGTTTGGACCCGCAGTGTTCCCTGGCAGTGGAAGCCCGATAGGCACCGCCGCATTGAGGAGTGGCTCCGCGAGCACTTGCCCGCTGGGGCAGTCCAGCAAGGTGGCAAGGGGGTTGGGGCGCTGCCGATTGCCCGGGTGGACCCCGAACAGGATACCCGTTGCTCCGAACGAGCACGGGTTGCATCGTTGGCTGCGGTCTTCGTGAGGAGCGACGCTGGGTTCGGGACGCGCTCTGCTGAAAGCCGAGCGTGTGCAGCAGATCGAGAAGTGCGAAACGTGGTGTTTTTTTCAGGGCCTGTCACCGGCCTGCTTGATCGGGTTGCTGCTTTTCGTGAAGTGGGAGTTTTCCACTAGGCTTCTAGTTTTGTTGTTCTGTGTGCCTGCTTTTTTATCACTGCGCAGCAGGGCTTTTTACTGGCCAGAGCTTCTAATTTGTTTGCTGTCTGTGGCTTCCATTTTTTTGTGAAGCTGGACCCCTTCGGGCCTGTAGTTGCTTGGTCGGCCTGCTGTTTTTGGTGAAGTGGTACTTTTTTGGAGGGCTTCATCAATTATGCTATGAAATCTTTGAAGTTTATAAACCATTGAAATATTTTGGTATTACAAAAATACTTCGGCTGTGAAAGGAAGCCACATATTTGCAATCAGAACATAGTTGAAACCTGAAATGTCCTGAAACAATATGTATGTTTCAGATTCTATTGGTGAGACAGCTGAAGATAGAACAGGTTCAGACATGTTCAGGTTTTCAGACTGTTTTCATACATATGTGTGCATGAGTCAGAATCTGAAAAAATCTGAACAATCTGATTTTTTCAGATGTTCATCATTTCCTTTACTAAATTGTCTGATTCAGATTTTTCAGATTTTTCAGATGTTTTAAGATTTTTATTTTCCTAATTTCTCAAAGGTTGAGGAAGTTTGATCCGATTTGATTGCAATTCTGAGTACACGGGACCTCATTTGTGGGCAAGTCTTGATTTGTGAATATAAATACAAATATATTTATATTGACATACCCATATGTATTTGTGAATGGTTGTGATCAGTGATATTCTCCTTTACGTAGTTTCATACTTGCATGATTGTCAACTGAGATTACTTCTTAACATATCAAAACACGATATTGTTTGCTTGTGGGTTGTTGCTTGCGAGTACAATGGAAATGATTGATGAACTATGTTTCGAGTGCTTCATATTTTGTTTGACACTCATATCAAGAAAATACATAAATGAATTGTCAACATGTTTGTTCTGGATTTGCTCATACTGTGAAATTCAACTCACACATTCAATACAGCGACCTTGAGTATGACATAGTATGACAGCAGCTCTCAGCTCCTTCATTTTTAGATGTTTAATGTGAATGATTCCCATCAAACGACTCATTATTGAGTTGATCCCAGTTTGCTAAACAAATTTCTTTGCGTTTCGCAGCGATTCATTTCGCGCGGATACATGCAGTCATGAAATAAGACGTGCTGGCCATGCAGCGTGTTTCGACCACGGCGGTGAGATGTCGCATATTGCGCTGGGCTCGTTGCCACTTGGAACGCGAAGCAGATGCGCCGTTGATGCAACTCTCATCTGGGATGTGGACAGTGAGTCTGGGTGAAATATGTGCGTGCGGCCATATTTGCGACACATCTCTGGCGTCTCTTGCTGCAGTGGACAACGCTTGCGCCAGCTCATCTGATAGCCGCGTGATGGCTGCGAGCGGGCCTACAACCTGATCAACCTGCATGGATGTCCGTTCTTTTTGGACAAGATTGCAGAGTTCCTTGGTCGTGGATGCCCGGTCTCTCACACGCCTGTCACATGGCAACGCGCGATTAATGCGTCTCGATTGGGTTGGCATGACATGTCTCAGTTGCACCCATGCCGGCACCTGCAGTTTGGCTTCCTAGCTGCCTCACTGGACATGGCGCCCAAAACGTCTGCCGCGGCAAAGGCCAAGACGGAGGAGCTGTCCTTCCAGATCCAGCAAGGCTGTTTCACTGGCGCCTCCGAGGCGATGGACGCGCGGTGTGCGCCGGGTCGCTGCGAAGTAGTTCTGAACGCCTTCGCGGAAAGCCGCCGCCCGGGCGCGCTGGAATGGCTCCACATGTTTGTCAAGCAGACAAGCCAGCCGCGGAGCGGCGTGGCCAATGGCTTAGCCGTTGGCAAGTTGCGGTCCAGTTGGGGAGCCCATGAACATCTCGATCGGCTTGAGTCTTGCCCGGCGAAGAATGAGGTCCTGAAGCGCCACTAGGAAGTACTGGTTTCGCGCTGACTGCTTGTTGGAAGCTCACGCAAAGAAGGAGCAGCAAAGCGCTATTGCGCACGCGGGACAAATCCCGCTGCCGGCAAGCGACGCGATGGTGCATACCTATAAACTCCAAAATGCAAAAAAATCAACCTGAGACTCGAAAAGGCGCCTTTTGCCGTCCAGCGGCGGAACTCGATGGGGAGCTGGTTGTGGCGGCGTTTTTCAATCTGCGACGGCGTTTTTTGCAGATCTACGCACCTGACCGCGACTATGCAACTTTGCCAGGTTTTGTGCTAGGCTTTGTGGGTTGGTGAAACTCGGTGCGACCTGTTGGAATACCCATCGAGCTTTACCGCTAAATGTGTTGACTTGCACCGGCGGAAACCTACGTCCCGACGGCGGAAACGCGCGTCCCGACGGCGGAAACGAGCGTCCCAACGGCGGAAACGCGCGTCCCAACGGCGGAACTCGAGATCGCAAACGCTTTCTTGAGGAGTGGTCCAGGTGTCACAGATCGACCAAAGCCGCCTTGCAAGGGGGCGATGAGCTGACTTGGGTTAGCCAGGGGCCAACGGCGTTTCTTGCAAACTGCCGGCGTTTCTGGAATTCAACGGCGTTCTTTTGCTGCGGCGGCAGTAGTTCCCGTCCAAAATCACAACGGCATTAAATTTCAGCCCGACGGTGTGCAACGCCTAGGGCGCGGCGTCCGTCGCCCCAACAAGATGAGTAACCTGGCCCTTCGCACGCGCGCGCACGTGCCAGAAGACCGCTCACACTGGTCGAGCGCCTGAGCAACATCGAGTCGAAGATTTGGCGCCTCATTGTCGACCAGTGCCCGCAGCGTCTCCGAGGCCTGTTGGCGGAATCCCCGCCGTTCCAGATCTGGTATGACAAAGCGTTGTGTGCGCGCGCGCTTCCGCAGCTCCTCACCACGGGAACATCCAGCGCTGCTGCCTTTGACTTCGCCGCGCGCCTCGCTATTGTTTTTCTATTCTTTTTTCACGTCCGCAGGCTGTGTCTTGGCCTTTGCAGCCGCTGACTTCTTCGGCGCCATCGGTGAAAACGGGCGGAAACAGTGCAGAGCAAAATCGAAGCGACGCATTGTGCAATTCATATGATGCAGCGACAAGACATGCATCACGCAGCTGGCACTTTTTGCACATCGCACCATCTGCTTGCGCAACGCGTGTGCTCACACAACGAGTATATCTGCAGGGATGAGTGCTGCAAGCGCCGCAGCTCCAGCAGCGCGCAACATAGCTCATCTTGCGCAGCATGCGGACAGTCCGCAGCGCGTTCGCTCAGGCACTGTCGCTCTTGGGGGTAACTGTCGCTGGGCTAACCGGGGCCGCTGCACCATGCGGCGAGGGGACGCAGCCTTCAGCTTCCTTGAGCGCGACCGCCAAGCATTCCTCCTGGTCGTGGAGCTCGGTCGCTCTATCCAGCAGCCAGCCCGGAATCGTGCGGCTCTTGCTCGCC